GTGTCTCTCTGAGCAGCTTCACTAGAAGTGACAGCTTTTGTGGATCCTGCTTATAGATCAGTGTCTGCTGGTATGCTGGGCTCTCAGAAGAGAGAGCCCAAAGTTTCTGTTCAGAGGCCATACCAGCTTGAAGACATGGATCTTCAAGTGATGGCCTTAAGTTCTCACTGGCAGTGATGGTACTGCTTGTCATACTGGGCCTTCTTGTATGTGTTCTGAGCTTGAACCACTGTGTACTCAGCAAGATTGCTGGCTCAGTCAGTAATGTTTTCTTGTGGGCTCCTATTGGGGCTAAGCCATGCATGAAGTCTCTCTCCTGAATCAACTCAGATGCAAAGCTCCAGTTCCCACCTCTCTAGTGGGTCTTTGTCATTTGACCAGAGATTGGTGGCCCCATGATTATCATAGTCAGTGTGGACTGAGAAGGCTGGGCTTCCTTCTGGAGTTGCATAGAGAGAGTCATGGCCAGAGTCTGAGGATGTGTGTTGGGAGCCTGGAGCCATCCTAGCAGCATTAAGAGAGTCCCAGGCATAGTCTCTAATGTTATGCTCTAGAGAGGCAATGAAAGGGTCAGGAGATGGTTCATTGTCAAAGAAGTCATCAAGGAGGTCTTCATCCTCATGGTTCAGGACTGGAGGGAAGTGCACTGGAACCCATGGGTTCCTGAACCCAATGAGCTGAATGTTACTGTTTCTGCTAGTTGTTCATTGGGGTCTGGAAGGGTATTGGTGTCTTTCTTCTTCTTCAGCATTCTGCACACCTGAGCTGCTAGGCCCAGCTTTGGGTACAGGTCCAAACATGGGCTGGAAGGAAGCTCAGGTAGAGGCAGAAATGTCATAGAAGGGGAGATTGGGTGTGACATTTTAAAAAATTTGTTGTATTTGCTGGAATGCTTGATAGTGTCTGACTATCCAAGCTGTTACTGATTGTCATTCATGGCAAAGTTGTATAATAGCAAGTAAACCAAGAAGCATTCCAATGATGGAAGCCAATAGTTTGAAGAAGTTGTTGGTGAGATCCAGAGTTGATGTGTCTGATAGTGGCATTCAGTTTTCTTTGCACTAGTGTGCATAAGAAAAGGGAAGCATAAGCTTCAAGCTAATTGTTAAATCTAAGTCACATATGATCTGAACATATGATAATCTAGTGTTGTATCAAGTTTGTACAGTCACGCTAAAGTTCACTTATGTGTCTCTGTTGATCTAGTGCTTCAAGGCTAAAGATGATTGGCTCAAGATAAAGTGATAGAAGAATAAACTTTAGCTCAAAGCTGGGGATATACAGCAAGAGCTACCCTACTTATATATAGTTCAAGTCCAAGTTAAATATATCTCTACTAATTGTGAGTTCCTATGCTATAGTGCTCTTTGTTCTTGAGCATTATTACTGCCTACAAAAGAGTATAGTCCATTGTTGAGGGTTGTTGTCATGTTGAAGGACAATAGCAGACTCAGCCTATTATAGTGACTAAACCTGTCCCATGGTCCTAAGTGCTGGTCTAGGCACTCTGACTAAGCATAAATAGGAGTTAATCAAGAAAAAAAAAAGAAAAAATCATAACACTCTTTGACATAGAAAACTTCAATAAGCTCCCTGCTTTGAAGCTATGAGACCACACAATCAAGTTAACCCCTAATTTTAATGCCAATCTTGACTGCAAGATCTACCCTCTTGGTCACTCAGAACAGCAAAAACTTGTCAGCCACCTTCCAATGGATGATGAATGACATTTTTAAGGCTCTTCTTGCTATCAGAAAGGTTACTATATATCTTGATGACATTCTAATCATGTTCAGAGATCAAGAAGAACACCACTATCTTGTCTGACAGATCCTGATGCTGATAAAGAAGCACAAGCTATTCCTCAAAGCAAAGAAGTGCAAATTTGGAATGCTAGAAACAGAGTATCTAGGCATTATTATCAATGAAGAGAGTATTCACATGAATCTGGTCAAGGTCCAGGGCATAATAAAATGGTTGATTCCCACCAAGAAGAAGGAATTACAATTATTCCTAGAGTTTACCAACTTCTACTGATGGTTCATCAAGGACTACAGCTGCAGAGCAAGAAGGAAAATAGAGACCAGTGGCATTCCTCTTCAAAGCCCTCACAACCATAGAGAGGAACTATAAAATCTACAACAAAGAGCTCCTTGCTATCATGCTTGCCTTAACCAAATGGTAACACTACCTGATGAGCATGATGCAGTGGTTTGAGATCTGAACTGATCATCAGAACCTCCAGTACTTCTGAATTCTGCAAAAGCTAAACTGACAGCAGGCCTGCTAGATTACTGAACTGGCAGAATATGACTTTCTGCTCCAACACAAGGTGGGAACCACAAATAAGAAAGTGGACCTGCTTAGTCAATGTATAGATCATAATCAGAGAAAGAATGACAATAGTGAAATGATCATCCTCAAGGCAGAGCAATTCAGAATGATGATTATGCCAATGGAGGAGGAGGCCCATAAGTGCATTAAGAGTGCCACCTGATGGACCATATTGTGGGACCAGAAGGTAGCCTCATCTATTAACCATGATTGAGGAATGACTAAGAATGGAGATCTGATCTATTATGACAATTGGATCTACATGCCCCAAGATCATGCAAACTTAGATAGAGAAATCATTGCTCAATCACATGACCACATGACCATGAGACACTCTGGGATCACAAAGACCATCAAACTGGTATTGCAGGAATATTAGTGGCCAAAGTTGAAAAGTGATGTTGAAAAGTATATGAAAGCCTGTAAGACTTGCTAATGCACTAAGTTAAGTACTTAAGCAAAGGCAGCTCTGCTACATCCAAACAAGATGCCAAGTATACTCTAGACACATATATCCATAGATATGATCACTGGCCTCTCTGAGTGCCATAGATATGATGCCATCACTATTATAGTTGACTGCTTCTTGAAGGCTATCATACTAGTCATATATTCAATAGAGTTGTCATCAGAAGGATAGGCAAAGATTCTGTGAGATGAGATGTATGCCAAGTATGGCATGCTTCAAGTAGTGATTTCAGATCAAGGGCCACAGTTTATCTTCAAGTTCATAACAGACCTCTATCACCTTCTCCAGATCCAGAGCAATACTTTGATTGTCTACCATTCACAGATAGATGGGCAAATAGAGCAAGTCAATCAGAAAGTCAATAAATACCTCCAGATGTTTATCAATCATTGATAAAATGACTGGACCAACTAGCTCCTGTTTGCAGCTTTTCAGCACAACAACCAAGTGCACTCCACAATAAGCAAAACACTGTTCTTTGTCAACTATGAGCAGCATCTCTATATCACCAGCTCATTCTGACATTCTACAGTGACTTTTGTCTCCACATTATTTGTGGATCAGATGGCCAAGATCCACAATAAGACAAAGTCTGCTCTCAAAAAGGCCACTACTGCAATGAAACACCAGTATGACAAGTTCTGTCACCCTGTCATCCAATATATGACTGGAGATCAAGTATAGTTAGATACAACTAACCCACATCTCCCACATCTGAGAAAGAAGCTTGCTGACAAGCAAACTGGACTCTTTACTATTACAAAGAAGGTCAGAACCTTCATCTACCACCTTGCACTCTCTATATCTTAGAAGATTCACCCTCATCTTCAATGAATCCCTTCTTTCTTCATATATGTCTTCTGCATTTTCTAATCAGAAAATTTCTTCTCCTGAACCAGTCCTAGTTGATGACAAGAAACACTATGAAATCAAGAAGATCCTTAACCACTGTCTTTATAAGACCCATGGCTACTGAGGTCTGGGCTCCAATACCATCATTGAATACCTAGTTAATTGGAAAGGTTATGACTCTGAATCCAACCAGTGGGTCAGCAAACACAACATGGATGCCACCAACACAATCTATAATTATAAGCTCTCTCTTAATTAAGCCATCAGAGTGCTGATCTTAAGGAGGAGATAATGTTATAGTTTTCTTGCTTATCTTATCTTATCATATCAGAGTGTCTATCTCATTTAGAGTGCTTGTCAATCATAGAACATCACCATAACTACATCAGGTACTCTGTGCTATTATCCTGTGATGTGTAATAAATGCCTTATTAGTGAACAATATCTTATTGTCTCATTCTCAACAACCAGACACAATGACACTGTAGCATAACAACACATAATAAGTAGATACTATATTTATTAAAAACAAAAACATATATAAGTAGCATAGCTCTTACTGTAGAACTCCAGCTTTGAGCTAAAGTTTATTTTATACTATTTTTCTCTTGAGTCTAACTTGCACTGGCCTTGATAACATACTACTCAAATACACAAGTGGATTCTAATGTGGTTATGTGAATATGACACAGCATTAGTTTATCATGTGTTCAAAGTCATATGTCAAGCAGGTCTAATAGCTGTTGGTGTATGCCAGGTGTGAGAAGGAGGATATTGAGTGAAGAGGCTGTTTTCATCAGAACTGTCCTCACTGCAATGATGAAAAGATCAGCAAGGGTGATGAGTCCAGCAGCCTTGAGTGTGATGTGATGATGAAAGATGAAGAATTTGTTGAATATGAGTGAAAAAAAAGAAGAAAAGAAAATAAATATGTATGCTTAATGATGGTGTAGACAAAGCTGTAGGTAATATGTTTGGGCTGAAGTCATATCTTTTCATATATTACAACAATTTACAAAGATAAAAGAAGGGGTGACAGTATAGGTATGTATTGTTGCTACCACTATTACCATTCAAAAGCAGTGTTTATGATCTTCTAGACAATCACAGAAAAGTGGGCAATATTGTTTGAGTTGCTCTTATTGGCATTTAACTTTTTTTTTGAGCAGGCATGACATAAAAAGAGTTGTTTTTTAGAGATAGATCATTCTTGAAATAAGGGTTTTTTTGGCAGTGTCTTATTGGAGTTAGTTATATTTTAGCTCTATCTGAGCAGTGATAAGGTATCCTATACCACAGATATGTTGTAGATAGCTGAAAGTAGCAGGAAAGCATATTCAGTGGTCTATAAAGCAAATTCTCCACAATTGATGGACTGGAGCAAGAACAAGAAATGTTAAGCAAGGAAGCCATCCTGTCCATTCTCACTACAACAGTAGAAAAATCTGCTAGAGTGATGAGCCTCATGAACTTGAAGCTGATATGATCTGAGATATGAGATGTATTAAACATGACAAGAGCTGAAAAGATGAGAATGAATGAGGCCATAGCTTTTAATGATGTTATCTTGGTGTGGAAAATGTGTTCTGGCAGATTTGGGGAAGATACCAAGCAGTAAATAAACTGCATGATGTTGCTGCCAACATTTGCAACATCATGATTGGACATCTCCTGCATAGCTCATTCAGTAGCAACAACCTTTCCTTTCATCAGTCACATGTGCATGGCTCTTATAGTGCTCACAAAGATCCAAAAGCCTCACATTTGCTATTAACCTATCATCTATTATCAGCCTTACTGTCAGTTTACCAAATTGGTGGAGTATGTGGAACAAGATGCAGACCATAAAGAGGGCTGTAATCTTTCTCTTCTGCTCATATTGATAGTGTGTATGCACTGAAAGAATTATTTCTCAATGAGGCAGGTTGGCTGTGAATAATACCAGATAGACACCAGCAGTGTCATGTTTAGATGGTGTGTATGTGTATGAGATTTTGTCTGAGTGGTGTGACATCAAATCTGATTCTACAGATACCATGATAGTAGCAACTGTGTGTCCATACCTATATCACACATGTTAACAAACCACTGACTGAATGTAATAGTCTCTATCTGCTGCACATTATGGCCTCAGTTAAACCAGCACTCTGAAATTGCAATGAGCTATAGTATGAAAATTCCATGTGTCAAGAAGCTGCTAGATGTTGTATAGCACTGCTTTAGTTCATATACTGGTTTGGATGCAAAAATCTGCTGAGATTTTGATGTTTCCATGGATTATTCATATCTTCTAAGTAAAAGCTTAAGGTCAGCAGTAGGTGATCTATCTCAGTGACAGAGTGAGGACTATCAGCCATCATAAGAAGTATGAGAATACTGAAGCTATCATCAATATAATTAATATCCACTCACACACAGCAGCAAGCATCTCAACTTCATTTAATGAAGATGATCTTGAGATTGGGCACATTCCATAACTATACAAAAACTATGATTCACCTTTCATCCACTGTCAGTATTATTGCTTCTGAAAGGAAGGGCTTACATTGGGGTGTGCATGGGAGGAGATAGCACTAATCTCAAGATATCATCGCAAATCCTAGCCATTGGTCATAAGCTTGTCCCCATTTCTTCTCTAGCCTATGCAGAGAAATGGTCAAAAGTTTGTAAATACTAGTAGTGAAGTTGCATCCATGTAGAATTGGATGAAACCTATACACTTTTATGATAACTGCATGGAGATTGTCAATAAATGAATTTCCTAAGCAATGATATATGAGACAGAAAAATGGCTGGCCACAAGAAAGAACCACAGTTACTAGATATCAAAAGATGATAGATAACACTTTGAGACTAGGTGGTATCTGAGGACCCAGTTCTGTTTGACTGCAATCTATATTTCTCGATGACAGTATCCACTTCATCATGCTTAACCAGCCCTATGTCAATTGCCCAGTCCCTCCTCCCAGATTCCACAATGAGGTCTGCTGCCATATCCAGTCTCCGTTTGTATTGCTTCGGCTCTCCTTCTACACGAACAACGCAATCGTACATTTGCAAACAATTGGTCAATGAGTTGCAAAGACCCAAGAGAGCGACAGAGCACAAGAGGAGGCATGCGATAAGCAGGCTCCCCACCCTGGATGCGTTACCAGCAAGAGCAGCACACATGTAGACCAGCAACGTCGCAAATGCAACGGCAAAGCTCTCCATGTCAGACATCTCTTGCAACCACTGGCCTGCGGTCACAGCTTTGAGATCATCTACTGACCCCTTCAAGCGCACCCAGCGATCTTGGCTCAAAAGAATTAAGAGATCACCTATCTCACTTCTCTCTTTCGCACCTTTCCATCCTTTCACACTTCTCTGCTTGACGACGACCACATTGATTGACCTGGCTATCACAAGCATCCACAGCACCCCGAATGCCCACCAGTCCTGAATAGCGCCCAGTAGCGCAAACACAGCAATAGTCAATACGGGACACAGGAGATAAAGCAGAGCTGCAGGAATCCCAGCGACTACAAAGGACTGGATTAGGCGATTGTTTCTGGATAGCATGCTATTGAAGGAGGGGTTTGGGGATACGTGGGCGGTAACAAGGTGACCGGTGCACCCAATGGTTTGTAGGTACCTGACAGTAGCGGGATTCTCCACATGGAAGAAGTATCCGCTAGTCATCGCACCCGTTATCGGCGTTTCACCGCGATTAACCTCGTCGGCAGATTGCTGTTGATGCATTCCTGGTGCGAGGACGAGAGCGTCGATGTAGGAGGCTGTGCCCGTCAGGGCTGTCCTCATCGCGACAGTCGAGAGATCTGCGAGGGCGACTAGACCCGCGGCTTCGAGGGTGACACGGCCCGAAATAAAGGAATTTTTGAACATGGGCGGAATCTAATGGTAGTTGGAAAACAAGAGGAAGGGACCAAGGCCGAGTAAAATAGCGTGTGCACGATGATGGGTATAGTGAACGTGTTCTAGTTGCCCCGAGAAGGACGGGAACAATGCTGGCCGTGAGATACAGAAGTAACGCGAAAGAATGACGGCCTCGTGCTGACGAAACGCCCAGCCAGTTCATTATGACTCACTGCCCCCGATGTTAATCCTTAATCCCGCTAGTGATCGTCACAGACCACCATCGGCAGAAAGCTCAAAGCGAACCGAAACCTTAGTTGGTGGTTAGTTAGAAGAACGATGGATGTAAGGATCTTCCACCAATGCGTGCGTGTTTGGCGCCCCCTGGCGTCAAAATACCATCCTTTAGCGGATCAGTTTGGCCACGAAAAGGGGGGCGTCTGATGCTTGTGCCACGGTTGGCATCAACCTATCAGAGTGGTGTGAAATCGGACCACAGGTCAAGGCTTCTGGTGAAGAGCAGCTGTGCGCTCATGGAATCCCTTTTCCCATGAGGAGGCAAAGCTTTGGGACGTCGTGGTGGCATTGAAAGCCAGGCTGGCGTATATCGGCATCAATGAAACTGGCGCCCTATATATTCGTCCTATGTTCGGAAGCTTGTAAATGTGAAAAATGCATGTTCAGGAAGCTGCGTGTTATGATGGCAGTATATGCTTTGCTGTTCATACGTTTACATGTCGAAAACCTCCTCGCTGGAAATCTGCGATAATGAAGATCGACATGTGGGCATGGGAATCGCTCATCTCAGCAACGATGATCACATAAGGATAACGACCAGCCGCCGTGAAATGAAATCTTTGAAGGAGAGAGAGGCAAGGATGACATTCTCCAGCTTCAGAGACACCGCGCATTTTGGCCTGAACCATCCTGCACAGGTTTGGGATCGCATAGAACTTCATCGATGGAATTACCTAAAGCCGAATGAGGATATCTGACTTGCGGAACAGAATGAGTACGCGCCGACGTCTTCTATAGCAGTATATGCCCACTTTCTTGAACTGTCTACAGTAACTCGTCCATTTAAGAAAAGTGGCATAGAGCAGGAGAGGAGAGCAACAAGCAGGCGATGTGCAGGCTTCCCACCGTCGATGCGTTTCCCGCAAGCGCGGCGCACGCATAGACCAACAGCGTAGCGAACCCTACGGAAAATCCCTCTTCTGCAGTCTCACCCCGCAACCATTGGCCTGCCGTCACCGCCTTCAGATCGTCCACTAATCCTTGCAAACGAACCCAGCGATCCTGACTCAGAAGTATGAAGATATCGCCCTCGACACCCGGCTCTTTCTTGCCTTTCCATCCCTCCTTGCTTCTCCGCTTGATAACGACCACATTTATAAACCTAGTCAACACAAGCATTCCCAAAACCCCAAATGCCCACCAATCTCTGATAGCGCCCAGAAGTGCGGAGACAACGATAGTGAGTATCGGGCAGGTTAGGTACAACAGCGTGGCGTGAATCCCGGTGACGAAGACCGGGGTGATGTGGGGGGATAAGTCGATCTTGAAGAAACGGTTCGTGAATGGATTCAACCTGCAGGGAGGTTTTGGAGATACATGAGCGGTGACGAGTTGGCCAATACGGCCAATGTGCCGTAGGTAGTGGACGGTAGCAGGATTCTCCAGTCGGAAGATGTATCCATTTGTCATCGAGGCGGTGTCTGGCAATTCGCCGTCATTGATTTTGACTGCGGATTGCTGCTGATGCATGCCTGGTGCAAGGACGAGGACGTCAAGGTATGAGGCCGTTCCTGTCAGAGCCGTCCTCAATGCGACATCGGAGAGGTCGGCGAGAGCGATGAGCCCCGCAGATTCGAGGGTGATATGACCAGAGATAGAGGAAGTACTGAACATAACCGGGGCGTGGTGGATGTTGGGGCAGAGAGAAGGATTTGAAGGTATATACCTAGGCAGCTCATGATGGTGTGTACGCCGCGCGGCCACGTGACGCTGCTAAATTGTAATGCAGCCTTCCACAAAGAATGAGCCACGAAAAATACCCACCTCGCGTTTCCGGCCTGCCTAAATCGTTCATTGTCACCGAAACTACCCCTCAATGCAGCTGTCAGCGCCACGAACGCCCCTGCACGACCGCTCAAAGCAGGGAAGTTTACGCTGACGCTTAAGTTGAACGATATCGTCCATACATCACTCGTATCCGCAGTGCGCTGGCGTCAAAACACCTGAACCTCAGTGAAGCGTAAAGAGATTTTGACGGGCGCCAGGCGTCAATTCGATTTACGAAAGACTCTCAGTATCAAACTGCGTTCACAGCAATGAGTTTGCGGGTGATACTGTTCATGAGTGAGCAAAGCATCAGAACAACGTAACATTACTAACTGGCAACTAAGTATCTTGGGCGCGGATCAATCTCCCTGAAATCACGAGTAGCGCCCTTCAGAACGATCATACGTTCTACAGTCTAGAAGCCGATTATCATTGAAAGCCGTTGACAAGGTCAAATTTTCGGTATCCGAAACCCTCAGCTGAAAACTGCGTGAATGAGGCTCGATATGCCATCACCGTCACCATTTTTGACGATGATAATGAGGACTACTAGCCGCCATCAGAGCGGAATATTGGGACGTTCTCTGTAAAGAGATGTGATTATCAAGACGACTGATACGCAAATACAAAATTAGCGTACCTGGAGATGGACATTTTTGGCACACTACAAGGCGCGACCTTGGGACTGCGGGTACATCCCATCAACGTAAAAATTCACCGTCTGACTTTTTCCATATTTTGTCACCCTTAACGCGGTCATTCTCATGAATGAGCTGACGTTATGGGGGGGTTTAGACGTGATTGGCTGGCGCTGCGATCAGTATCGATGGAACTAAGCTGATAATTAAGAAAACCAACTACATCGCCTTTGGAATGGGGGGCCTTCTATGCGGTCCGTTCTTTGACAGACTGAACTGAATCCTGTATGTTGCTCTGTATCCAACCGGCTTGCGTATCATTCCCCATGACACCATGTAACGTGCAAATTTGTTCAATGATGATGCGAGTCATCCTCAGTTACCTGTGCTCGACATGAGAAAAAGTTACAGTGCGCAATGACAGGAGATACTGTTACCGAGGTCGTGAATCTTGGTTGTCTTCCAATATTTGTCCACCTCATCCACAATCACGACTGGATGGATATATGCGGCATTTCACGCTCCTGCTGAGTTGGCGTCATCAGGGATCTACGACAGCGGGCGGAAAGATGTAGTAGAGCGGGAAAAAAGGCCATCTGTCGTTAGTACGGGCACTAAGCTGCGAGTCGACATCTATGTAGGAAGAGTGTCTGTCCCCGAGGATCGGTACGTGCTGAATCGGACTCAAGGATTTCGGTGCTCGTGAAGCACTGAATGCGGATGAATGAGCCAGTGACGACAGAAACAAGAAGTCGGAACGTACCAATCCAGCCTTCGATGATGCTATCTCTCATCGCTTCCCTGAGCATCGCTGCGGTCATTACAGCCATCCCTTGCCGTCGACAGTCCATGAGTATCCGAAAAATCGGGAATTTTAGCGCATATATGCGCGACTAGGAATTGTCCAGGCGCTGTGAATACTTGCCAGATAGATAGGATGGAGGAAAAAGGAGACTTACGAGCTCGCTTTTGGTTTTGGAAGACTGATCGCGCACTGAGCCTGCACGACGGTGGTACCGTCGGCCTTGTTGAGGCTTTTCATGAGAATGGGGCCTGCTGCAGGACAGGCTTAGAATATCATGGTAGATATGCGAATTATCGTCGCCATCGTCGAGATTGAGGTCCTTGCCTTCGGAAATGGTGGTGTCGAGAAGGAAATTCAGGACCGTATTGACACCGGCATCATTGTTGACTTCTTACCACCATCATCGCCACTTGGATGCACGATACCGAACTCTACAGCGTTGTACGAGTAAATTACTTGGTTGTGTGCCCAGCTGCGCGGTAGTGACCTCCACCTTGGTATTCAGGATCGCAGGTTTTTCTCTGGAGACACCGTCGCCGTTCTCTGGCATCCAGGGTTCCTGTGTGTGGTCTCTTTCTCCGCGCCGAAAAAGCGCTTATCACGATTTTTCTAGGCCTGTACCTGGACAATCGACGTTTTGGTAGCCATATGATCCAACTTTTGGACGTGGAAAGGGGAGGAGCCCATTGCTCGAGTCGATGAGTAGAGCGTAATCAACTACTACATTCTCGCCTTCGATGTCTGAAATGGTATGAGCTTCCATACTTTACTCTTTCATCACTAAGGATTCGAAGAAGTATGCACTAAATCAGACCGACATGCTGTTGCTGCACGATAGAAGACTTTCGGTGAGCATCCTGTACTACACTCGGTAGTTTTGGCTTCTAAAATGCTTTGAATAGAATACAGCGGTCGAGTGTGAAGAGCAAGTCGATTTTATTCACCCATGGCAGACATCGCTCTTATTCCAACCGAGCTCTCATACAGCAACGACAGCGCGGTTACACACCTCTTGTCCCGTCAGGCCCACCGCATCACTAATCACGCAAGTACTGTGTCAGTCATCGTGTTAATGAATCCATGATTTATAACGACCCTCAGAGACAAGACATATTCACCTCGACTGCTTCTTTTCTGTCTATGGTTTATGCCTCAGGCCTCAGTGCTTGAGCACGGGTCCTACTCTTTCTCGGATATATACACCACACCGATGCCTAGCCATTGTCGCCACGCTAGACCTCTTGAAGTTCAAATTTAGGAACACCAGCCATATTCGCCTCGAAGGATCACCCCATCGCCCTCCATCCTCGCTATACGCATAACACGCCAACAACCAAGAGGACTCTAGCGTCTCTATCAATGCAGTAACGGGCTGGAAAGGCTTGGCGACAAACTGCCCTCTTAGGGTTAGGGTCATGCCGTCTGCGACCTGTATAATCAAGTTTTTCGCTTCTTGTGTAAATCCGTTGAAAGTACGGTTGACGATGACGGACGAGAGAGCCGTGGCGTCCTATTGGCAACAGCCGAAGGTGCTGATACTGCCTGTATATCGGCTACAAGGTTACTGACCGGTGGGATACGGCCTCGACGTATTGCCCCTCTTTTGTGTCCTGCGAAAGATAATCGCATTTACGTCTAACCATCTTACAAGCTCATTTCTTCCTTCGATGCGCTATCGGCCTCGCTGCCATGTACATTTTCGAACTCCTGGAGTTCCATGACCTGTGCTTCTTAATGTTAGCAAAGGACCGTCAAAGCGATCGCCGCATGTTGTACTATTAACCATGCTCCGTGAGAAACAGGCCGTTCAATATGTCTTCAGATGACTTAATAGTCTCGAACAGAGCTCTGCACGGTCCTACTGGCAAGTACCTCTCTTTCATGAATCAGGCGTAACTTCATTGATGTTTCAATCCGAATAAAGCAGTAATGTTACCCTCAAAAGCGAACCTCTCTCTCTATGCCGAATGGTGTGTGCATACAAGTATTTTAAATGCACTGCTTCGCATCCGAGGATTCCATTCGGAACTTGAACAGGCCTAAATATGTAAGACCATGGCAACACGAAGACGATGGCCAGCGGTTCTCGCTCCAGTGTTCACGTGGCAAAACGCTTAAATATTAGGCTTGGTGGTTTTAGTCGCCCTTTCTATCACCCAAACCCCATTAACCATGCTGGCTTTCATCTCTCTTTTTGTCCTTCCCTTCGTCCATGCGCTTACTGTCAATAACCTGAACACTACCGTCTCCTCTGCAGGTCCAATCACAGTGACGTGGACAGTGTCCGCCGGCGACCCCGATACGTTCTCTATTGAACTGATCAATCAAGGGTTCAATCGACAGTTCGCCGTTGCGAACAATGTGGATGCAGACCTACAGTCGATAACTTTGTCGTTGCCTGAACTTCCAACTGGGTGTGTATGCCTTCAGTTTCGTTTCTCCAGGATTGGGCAATGTAATGAACGATGACGTAGCTCTCTTCCCTACTCCTTTCCGGGTTCCATCTACCGCATAACTGATTTTGCTTGATACAGGAGTGGCTTTACAACCCAGCTAGTGAACGTTTCGAATATCAACGATGTTTTCGCTCAGACGGGCGACTTCTCCGTTGCTGCAGCATCGTCCTCATCTACAAGTGCTAGCTCAACTGCAAGCAATAGCGCTTCCTTGATATCGGCGTCGGCGATCGCAACAACGTGAATCGATGCTTTCATCCCATCCACGTTATTATGGCATCTTCTAACGGCTCCTATCCTCTAGAATGGGATCCGCAATCTCCTCTGGCGTCAGCTCGTCACGCTCTGTCGCTGCATCATCCGCCGGGTCTGCTTCTGCATCCTCTACCGGGAGCCTCAACTCTGCTTCCAGGCTTGAGCTAGGCTCAGGTGGTGCTTTGGCGGCGATGTTGGGATGGGTTTTGGCTCTGTAAATCGGTTCATCGCTTCGGATGATTACTCACGTCCTGTTATCGTGGTCGTTTTTCTCTTTTATTCATGTCACAGACTCTTTCTCTTCATATGCACGACCGATCTGTACCACTGACGTACCAGCACCATGATGAACGCATTTCATTGAACCCCTCTCGACGAGCAGGTCTTCCGATATGAAAAATACCTAACTGCAGATATAAACACGGTATGTTTCCCTCCGATCAGGCCCATCAACATCAATATCGACCACTTGTTCCCTCCGGAAGTATTAATTTCTATGACAACGAACCAACCCATTGAGGTTTCGAAATGGCCTTCAGCGCCAGGAAGTCTACCATTTACATACGGTTCACAGACAAAAGTAGCACTTCGGAGAGACATGACAATACCGCCTAACAAACAGAGGAGCATGGAAGGAGGAGGGAGGAAGACCCCATAAACTTTGAAGGCGAACCCACACTACGAATAACAGGAGCCTTTCTGCAAGCAATGACCCAAAGTTGGGCGTACAAAGCCCTGCGGAAGACATTGATAGAAGCACTCGTTATTTCCTCTGGATGCTTATGCATGATGCATGCAGAGTAGGGGAGAAATGACTGAAATTTGCGCAAGAATACCACGAGAGAGCGTACTATTCCCACTGCGGAAACTGTGGAGAGAGTATGGAACATGTCCTACCTAACGACTTGCTCAACACCCGGCCAAAAAGAAGTCTGGGAACTCACGAGAAAGATACTAGAACGTAGAAACACATTCCTTGGCACCCACTGTCAACTGCAACAATTTTCTCATGTGCCGCCCTAGTGTTTAAAAGCAAAAATGGCAGGCGGAACAGTGGTAAGGAAAGGTTCTACCTCGTAGTTATGTCAATCTAGGCACAAATTATCTGGAAATGCACGATATGAAAGAGTAATAAATAAAGACAACAGTAAGTTCTCACCAGAATCATTGATAAAGAATATGTGGTCAAAGAAGATCAACAAGCGACTTGAATTGGATCGCTTGATGACCCATAAGCGGTTTGGAAGGAAGGCTCTACCAAAAGACCATATTAAAAACATGGTCGGGATCCCTCCAGACTGAATGGAAGCAAGCAGGATTTTACCGGTGACACGCCCTCTCCTCGTTCAGGCATGTAAAATTGTGAAAATTGCGAATACATGGGCCGCATTCCAGGCCAGTAAGCATGTAACAGAAAATAGGACTAGAGCACACAGAAACCTCGCTATCATAATGATAAACTGGAGTAACAATAAGCAGAGTGCATGGCCTAGTAACAGACTAATACCAGAGGGGTTAGGCTGCATGTGAGGTCCCAGCACTTGGCCCTAAATGCACTAATACTATTACAAGAGGACATGCTAAAAATAAAAAGACTATGAT